GCGGGAGGGCTGGGGGGGGGCTGGCTGCAGCCGGAGCTCCTGTCCACAGCGGGACCTTCTGCCTGTCATGGCAAGTGTGTGTGGTGGACACAGGCAGGGGCCTCTACGAAGTCGGGTGACCAATGGCCCCTTCCAGCCACACCTCGTCCCTGGTCCTGAAGGGTGGGGTCTCCCTCTCCCGCCACGACATCCCTGACAATGCCGGGGACGGGGGACCTCGGCCGCCGGGCTCCTGACCCGGGGCAGGCCCGGGCCCCGAACCATGCGCTGCGCCGAGGTCCTGACGCCCTCAAGGTGGGACGGGCGGCCTGTAGCTCTGCCGCACTGCCTTCCGGCTCAGGCGGGAGCGGCCGGGAAGTCCCTGTGGCTGGCGCGTCGGTCCCGGATGGGAGGCCCCGGCCGGACCCCCCTAACCGCCCCCCCTCCGTGCTGGCCCCAGGGGTGCCCGGGCCGGCCTGAAGGGAAGCGCTTGCGGCCGGAGGTGAGCCGGGCCGCGGCTCCCGAGCGTCCCCAGCAGAGAGCGCGCGCGTCCGAGGGCGGAGCCGGCGCTGAGGCTGAACCCCGTGTCCCCCGGCCCCGCACCTCCTCCACGATGTCCCCGTTCTCGGCGTGGACCTGGGCCACGGCCCCCAGGTCCCGGATGATGCTGAAGATCTCGTACATCTGGGCGGAGAGAGGACGAGGTCCTGAGTGCGGCGCCGCGGCCGGGCCCGGCCCAGCGCCCCCCCCCCCCGCGTGCCGGCCTCACCTGGCCGTCGGAACACTGGCACCGGTCCCTGTGCGCCATGAAGACCAGGAAGGAGTTCACGCCTGGGGGAGGCGGCGGCGCTCAGAGGCGCGCTGGGCTCCTCCCGCAGGGCACGGGTGGAGCGGGGTGGCGCCCATGCCCTCCCTCCTTCTGCTCAGGCCTGACCCAGCCCTAACCGCCTGCACTGGAAACAGGGCCGGGCCTGCCTGTGGGAGCCTGACCGGCTGCGGGGCTGCGGCGCTCCGGAGGCGGAGCCCGGGGCAGGCGGGAGGCAGAGCCGGGGTGGGAGGTGGAGCCCAGGACAGGAGGCGGAGCCCGGGACAGGCAGGAGGCGGGGCCGGGGTGGGAGGCGGAGCCTGGGACAGGAGGCGGAGCCCGGGGCAGGCAGGAGGCGGAGCCGGGGTGGGAGGCGGAGCCTGGGACAGGAGGCG